GTGTAGTGTATAGGGCGTAGCGTGTAGTGTATAGGGTGTTGTGTGTAGTGTATAGGGCATAGCGTGTAGGGTGTAGTGTGTAGTGTATAGGGCGTAGCGTGTAGGATGTAGTGTGTAGGGCATAGCGTGTAGGGTGTAGTGTATAGGGCGTAGCGTGTAGTGTGTAGGATGTAGCGTGTAGTGCGTAGCGTGTAGTGTATAGGGCGTAGCGTTTAGGGTGTAGTGTATAGGGCGTAGCGTGTAGTGTATATGGCGTAGCGTGTAGGGTATAGGGCGTAGCGTGTAGGGTGTAGTATGTAGCGTGTAGGGTGTAGTGTGTAGGGCATAGCGTGTAGTGTGTAGGGCGTAGCGTGTAGTGTATAGGGCGTAGCGTGTAGTGTATAGGGTGTTGTGTGTAGTGTATAGGGCATAGCGTGTAGGGTGTAGTGTGTAGTGTATAGGGCGTAGCGTGTAGGATGTAGTGTGTAGGGCATAGCGTGTAGCTGCTAGTGTGTATAGGGCGTAGCGTGTAGTGTATAGGGCGTAGCGTGTAGTGTATAGGGCGTAGCGTGTAGTGTATAGGGCGTAGCGTGTAGTGTATAGGGCGTAGCGTGTAGTGTATAGGGCGTAGCGTGTAGTGTATAGGGCGTAGCGTGTAGTGTATAGGGTGTTGTGTGTAGTGTATAGGGCATAGCGTGTAGGGTGTAGTGTGTAGTGTATAGGGCGTAGGGGTGTAGGGCGGACTCCCTGAATGGGTATTGCTTCTGCGTCAAACTAAATCTAATGCGAATGCGTTTTTCTCCGCTAGTGGACATATTCTCTGCGAACGTGATATACTGCGACAGGACAGAGACCGCTTAAATGTTCTTAAACCTAGAAAACTGCGCGTGATATAGATCAGCTTGCGTCTTTACGTTTCAAATGTTTTCCTTAAACTTGCATAATAAACATGCAATGAAAGATTTTTTGACTATATAAAGAGTAACTCTGCTGTTGCATGGGTGCATTACCAAAAGAACGGAAAACAAAGCAAGAAACGGATCAGCAGAGGAGAATCTTCGAGTCCTGAGGGGTTCCAGCGCTCGCTCCGGCTCATCTTCATCTTGCATAAGGCACCGGATCCCCGTCTAAAGAAGCGTGCAGCGTTCGCTCATGACGTCTTGCTCCCCTCCTCTTCAATCAGTCTGTGAGTTCATTGATGAAATGAAGAAGCGTCGGATGGCAGGAAAGTGTGGCTCTTCAGCTGCGGCTAGAAATGTTGTATGTTCACTGTGTGTCGAAAGCGTTCCAGCTGATAGAATCGCCACTGTAAGAGCCATCCGTGTGTGTGTGTGTGTTTTAATTGAGCTGGTCCTCGTATTGTTTCCGGAAACAGTCACCAGCGGGGAAGAATTCCCAGCATCGTTCCTGGTACATTTTCCAAACGTACGACTCCTGAAAGGCAAACAAGCATGTGTGTTGATCAGGAAATGATGAACGTTTCCCTGGAACAGAACAAGCAACATATGAAAACAAATGAGAGGGGATGATGGGAAATACCTGGCCTGTGTGCTCCGTTTCATCCTTGTTGATGAGATACATGACGAAAAATCTGCAAAGACACACACACACACACATATCACTCAGGTTACTGTATGTGTGGCTGATAGTTTGTGCTCTGTCACTGTATGCAGTGAGTTTGCAGTGGCCAGTGTTGGGGGTAACACATTACAAGTAACTCGAGTTACGTAATCAGATAACTTTTTTCAAGTAACCAGTAAAGTAATGCATTACTTTTTCAAATAAGTAATGCCAGCTACTTTGTTTCCCATGTATTGACTGACAGCTCTCCTGTCCTCATGCTGAGAGAATCAGGAGTGAGTGCAGAGCGCTGTGTGAACATGATGCTACTGTAGATCTAGACTAAACATCAACTGCATTTACTCATCTCACTCACACAAAAACACATTCAGTATTCCTCAAAATGAATAAAAACAGTGAAATGCAAACCTACAATAATTAAACATGTTAAATAACACAAATATCCTTTATGTATTTAATCATTATAAGAATTAACTGATGATCTGACTCGTTTCTGTCAGCACTGCTCATGTTTTGTGTTAACTTCTGTTTATTTGCCAAAGGCGGCTGGTCTGGACGCTGTATTGATCGCGCATCTCATTTGTTTGTTTGTCTTTGACTCTCCGCAGGTAAATTACTTGAGGACAGAATCATGAACACTTGAATGCTGACGGCGCAGCAGGACTCACAGATAGTTGGCCAGGTTGTGTTCCTGCAGCGTGTGCGTCTCGAAGCCGTGAGGAACCGTGTCGAAGTAGTCGTTTCCAATCCCACAGATGAAGCACTTTGTCTGCAGGAGGAAAAACACACGTGTGTTTAATCAAACTTCTCACACTCACACACACACGGCAGACTTCACATCAAGAGTTCAGCATGTGCCTCACCTCCATGTCCTCCTTAACCTGCTCTTGCTGGTCTCTCAGCTCACCAAACGCATCGATGATCAGACCTGAAACACACACACACACACACACACACACACATGAGATACAGCAAACACACACACACACACACACACACACAAACATAACAGTTTCTGCAGGTGTTATTTTAGTAACACTGAGATGCTATTATAGTTTTTACTCATATTTTTAAACGAGTGTTTATTTTTATATTTTACGATTTCATTTTCATTTAATTTAAATTGTTTTTTGTTTACATACTGTAGTTTTATTAATTTTTCTTTCAGTTTAAGTTTTAGTTTTTTTACTACATCAAGTTAAACTAAATTAAAATGAGAAATGTTGCCTTGGCAACTAACTGAATTAAAATGTTTTTATATTTTATTTCAGTTACCCTATATTTTATTTCAAGTAACAGAAATGTTTTTAAAATGGTTTTAGTTTTAGTTAACTATAATAATAACTTTAATTCAGATATGTGATGTCAAAAATGCTAAAATCACTGTATCTCACGACATCCAGTGACTTACTTCTTTAATGAAACTCTTAATGTCTGTGGAAACACGCACACATGCGTAAACACACACTCACACACACACTCACACACACACTCAAACACACACTCACACACACACACACACACACACTCTCTCTCTCTCTCTCTCTCTCTCACACTCACACACACACACACACACACACTCTCTCTCTCTCTCTCTCTCTCTCACACTCACACACACACACACACACACACTCTCTCTCTCTCTCTCTCTCTCTCACACTCACACACACACACACACACACACTCTCTCTCTCTCTCTCTCTCTCTCACACTCACACACACACACACACACACACTCTCTCTCTCTCTCTCTCTCTCTCACACTCACACACACACACACACACACACTCTCTCTCTCTCTCTCTCTCTCTCACACTCACACACACACACACACACACACTCTCTCTCTCTCTCTCTCTCTCTCACACTCACACACACACACACACACACACTCTCTCTCTCTCTCTCTCTCTCTCACACTCACACACACACACACACACACACTCTCTCTCTCTCTCTCTCTCTCTCACACTCACACACACACACACACACACACTCTCTCTCTCTCTCTCTCTCTCTCACACTCACACACACACACACACACACACTCTCTCTCTCTCTCTCTCTCTCTCACACTCACACACACACACACACACACACTCTCTCTCTCTCTCTCTCTCTCTCACACTCACACACACACACACACACACACTCTCTCTCTCTCTCTCTCTCTCTCACACTCACACACACACACACACACACACTCTCTCTCTCTCTCTCTCTCTCTCACACTCACACACACACACACACACACACTCTCTCTCTCTCTCTCTCTCTCTCACACTCACACACACACACACACACACACTCTCTCTCTCTCTCTCTCTCTCTCACACTCACACACACACACACACACACACTCTCTCTCTCTCTCTCTCTCTCTCACACTCACACACACACACACACACACACTCTCTCTCTCTCTCTCTCTCTCTCACACTCACACACACACACACACACACACTCTCTCTCTCTCTCTCTCTCTCTCACACTCACACACACACACACACACACACTCTCTCTCTCTCTCTCTCTCTCTCACACTCACACACACACACACACACACACTCTCTCTCTCTCTCTCTCTCTCTCACACTCACACACACACACACACACACACTCTCTCTCTCTCTCTCTCTCTCTCACACTCACACACACACACACACACACACTCTCTCTCTCTCTCTCTCTCTCTCACACTCACACACACACACACACACACACTCTCTCTCTCTCTCTCTCTCTCTCACACTCACACACACACACACACACACACTCTCTCTCTCTCTCTCTCTCTCTCACACTCACACACACACACACACACGTCTCCAGACAGCGATCTGTGGATCTGTGCAGCTGGAAGTGTTTGGATGTGAGACTAAAGCGTCCGTCGTCGTCTCTGACAAACGCTTCTCTTTCACTCAAACTGTCTTCCCTTATTAGGAGCAGAGACAGAGAGACAGACAGGAGCGCAGCTCGGACAGGAAGACAAAACAGCAAGGAAACACAGAGAAATGGAATTGCACGGGTGGCTGCTTCCCAGCGGATTAAAGCACGCTCACACACACACACACACACACTCGTGTCCTTATATAGCTCTCGGCACGCATCCGTCAAACACCTCGCTGCCTCACCTCACAATGGGAAACTCTTCCTCATCCTCATCACTTTCCTACATGCAACACTAAAGCAGATGTGCTGCAGACAACAAAATACCATCCCCACATTTTGGGAAATAATCATTATATTTCAAGAGTAATAAAAGTTAAAGTATTTAACAATAATAGTAATTTTTCGTTTAGTTTTACTTCAATAGTAATTATTATCATTATTATATAATTGTATATGAGAAAGAAAGTTATGAAGAACACAAGGGTGATTAAATCACGAGATTCATCATGAAACACATTTTTTAACCTCAAACCACACGTTCCTGTGAATCTGATGAATAACACCATCCTCTCGCTCTCTCTCTCTGGGTTTGTTTAGTTCGTTAATTAGTCTGTTGTTCTAGTCGACGGCTCTGGCCATTAATGCGCTACGGTCCTAATGACCCTCCATTTGCGCTTAGCAACAGCACTAACGTCACAAATGAGCGATGGCAGCGATGTTCTCATCTGAAGAACACATTAAACCACACACAGCGCAGGAAATCACATCAGACGCTAAATATCAGAGGTTAGAGGTCACGCTCGGGGTCAAGTGTCCAGGTCAACATCATCAGGAGTATGGCGAGATCTCCTGAGTCTCAGTTACGTCTCATTTTCATATGTACTTCATGTCTCCTCCAACCCCTCAGGAGAAAGACTCAGTGAGGCACTAGAGCTGAAGTTCATGTTGAGATCTCTGATGTTTGCAGACTTAGGTATCTGAGCAGTGTGTGTTGAGATCTCCACTGAAACTCTAGAGGAGACACATGGGAGTGTTTTTCTCAGGAGAAGCATCTAAAAAAGCAGCAAACTCTCCAATTAATGTCTTGAAACACCTGATATATACTCATATGCACTCTTGGTTGACTCATGTGTTTGTCAGTATTGTGATAATGAGCTTTTAGTGCAAACATCACCAGCAGATTCAGGAGAGATTGTGATTAATCGGATAAACAAGCATTTAACAGCATTTCACCAGGTCTAATTCAGGTCTTCATGCACAAAAATAACAGCATTCAAACACTTTTGGGGAGGATTTAGCTGTTTGCTCACCGTTAGCATGTCGTCACACTTCATGTCTGGTGATTCTCCATCTTCACTCTTATTGTAGAATTTACGGAAGAAGTTGAAAGCCACAACAGTGTAGAGATAGACCACAACCGCCAGCAGACCTACAGTCAGGACCAGCTACACACACACACGCACGCACACGCACACGCACATACACACAAACACGCATGTGCACACACACACACGCACGCACGCACACACACACAAACACGCATGTGCACACACACACGCACGCACACACACACACATGCGCACACACACACGCACAAACACGGACATGCACACACACACACACACACACATACAAACACACACACACACACACAAACACGCACGTGCACACACACACAAAAACGCACGTGCACACACAAACACACACACACACACGCACGTGCACACACACACACACACAAACACGCATGTGCACACACACACACACACACACAAACACACGCACGTGCAAACACACAAACACACACACACACACACACACACACACACAGAGTTAATTCAGCATCACTGAGCTCATATGTGTCTGTTCTGAATAATCAATCTTCATCAGAGCGTCTCAAACTGTGAGGTCCTCAGGTGCTACAACACGCAACAGAATTGTTTAATTTGTATTTTTTATTTTGCAATGTTTAATTTCTATTTTTGATATATTAACAATTTTAATACAGCTGTATGTGTCTCTAATGTGTAAGCAGAGCTTATTACAGAACCTCGAGTTATTAAAATGATCCCCGAACACTCTGAACAAACAGATAGACAGACGGATAGCGTGGTTAACCGCGGGAGAGTTCAGCGGTACCTGTTTGCCGTTGTGTGTGACGGAGGACAGGATGGTTCTGAGGGTCTTGAAGCCCATGGCGATGTCCAGCAGGTGGGCGGCAAAGAAGAAGTTATTGTAGTGTCCGAGGATGGACATGCTCATGTACCAGGCCAGATACAGGAACGACTGCAGGACACATCATCACACAAACCAGATCAGACCTGACCAAATCAGCACACACACACACACACCCACACACACATATGAAGAGCAGGTACTGACGTTATCAGTGAAGACGACGCCCAGCTTCCAGATCTGATACTTCACATCGATGGAGTTCAGTCTGGAAATAAGAGAGAGAGCGGTTAGTGAATCCAGCAGGATGACTTCATTAGTCAAATGAGCAATGCTTGAAAAATCATTTAGAATTTGAGATTGATTATTAATGTCATGTGAGGGATTGTGTGGATGGTGACACATTACTGCCCCCTGCAGGATGAGCTGAACTAACGGTTACATATTGTGGTGTAAATTCAAGAAGATAGAATCTGTTTCTGTTAGTGAATGGCCAACGGCACATATGAACACACATACACACCTGCGGCCAGTGAACTGTCTCTCTTTGGTTTCTTTTTCCCATGGGCGTCACTGAAGTCCAGCGCAGCTTTATCCATCCCGAGCAGCTCACTGATCCGATCATGTCCATAAAACTCTCCATACTTATCCATCACCTACACACACACACACACAGAGAGAGAGAGAGAGACATGTGGTAATTCAGATGGTCTTTATCAGAGCCGTTCATCTGTCTGTATGTGTGTAAATGTCTCCAAACTCACCTTCCGCTTCACAAATTTATCCCAGTAATTGTTTGGGAAGGACCTGAGAGACAGAGAAGAATTTTTATCTTTAGATCATAGAAACACAATCATAACTCACAAAGATCCTCATGAAACAACAGCAGTGAAGATCGACTTATAAAATCATTATGAAATCCAGGCCTGAAGCTTTAACACTAAAAATAAAGGTTTGAATGTTTTAATTGGACTTTGTAAAGGATCTCATTTCATTTAATAATGTCTCAGTCAGCTAAACATTTTACTCTATTTTAAACATTTTTATTTTGCTATTTTTCCTATTCTCGGTACATTTTAATGAACATTGTTTACATTTATTCTTTTTAATTATTATATATTTATTCAATTAAATTCAGCATTACAATCTCATGAACCCCAATTTGGGAAATCCTAATTGATATTTAAATAATGTATCATTTTAACAATTTATAAAAAATAATAATAATGATGGTATTAAATGTAAATAGAAATTATCTTTAATATTAAAATACACATTAAATGTATTACTAATGATTTAAACAATTTACATGTTGCTTTAATAGTGTTTTACATTGTGTGAAATTCCAAGCATGACAACCTAGATAATATAACGAAAACAAATGAATGATTTCAGAGGTAGAGGGAAAATAACGTGTTTGAGCAGCACATCAAAAACATAAAAACAGACAACAGGAGCCTCCAGTGCAGTAAACATCACTGATTATAACGGTAATGAGTCAGTTCTGTCACATCGCTCTGCCCTCCATCGTTAGCATTTTCCATCGGGTCGCCTCATTACTGCAATATTCCCGATTGAAATCGGTTGAGGTGAGAATCAGCCTATTACCCATGAGCCTCGTCTGTCACTCACTGTGTGTTGATGACCAGTCGGTCCCACTGGCCTTTAATATCGTCCTCCGAGGGCTGTTCAGTGATGTACAGACCGTCAAACTCCAGCTTTCTGGCCACTTCCTTCTCACGCTTGAAAATCACCAGAGGAACCTCGAGGAGAAACAGCACTATCACTCACCACAGCTCTGCTTTCTATAATCGGAGCATTTATTAAAACCTCTTTAGACTGATGCTGCCGGGCATTTCATCTTTCATGTAAATCTAGCAGGTTTATTGTTTCAATAACTGGATTTCATTAGCATAAATGAAACTTTATGCCTAGCTTTCATTATTAGGAAATCAGATCCAGTGCCTTGTGTGAATAATATCACAGTTAAGGTCATGTGATCTGTCAAACTCAGTGTGTTTTGGGTGAATTATTGGCTGCTGAGAGCAGGAATCCATCAAAACCACTAATAAATAAAACATTAATGATGTTTTAGTTTCAATGCACTTATCATTTCTAGAGCTGTGCTGGTTTAGGCTCCTGAAGCTGATGATCCTGTACCTTTAAGCAGTAGTAGCCGATGATGCAGAAGAAGGAGATGACGGTGTGCAGGATGGCTAAGATCCTCAGCGTGGGCTCCATGTAGCCGCTGCTCTCCTCCAGCACAAAGTGCACAGCGTCGGGTCGAGCGCTCGAGCCTCCCAGAGGATCCCAGCGCACGCTGGCGTCTGAAGACGAGCTGAACAACACCTCCTTCCCCTCAGAGACGGCCGAGGACGTGGACACCTGCACACGGGACCAAACACACGCTCAGTCACACATATACATGCTAGGAGTTTGTTCGGACGACTCACTAGTAGGGATGTAACGATTAACCGCGAGCCGGAATATGTGACGATTCAAATCGGTTGAGATGCCAAACAAATCGCGATACAATTGGAGTAGGAGTTTATATGAATGTATGTCTGAGGGGAACTGACTGTCTTTAGAAAAGTTTAGATGGTATTTTTTCTTTTCATCTTGCCTCTGTATAATGCATATTAAAGTTCATAAGTGCAGCTTTGTTTACACCGGTAACCAAGGAAACACTGTATCATTGCTGTTCAAAAGCGCCACCTGCTGTCAGAGAGTGAATCTGCTTCAATTTCACAAATAATAAAGCAATAATAAAAGGACACATTTAATTTATAATTTGTCTTAAATCTCATTTCGTAAAAAAAAAATTTAATCGTGAGTTGAGTGAATCGTTACATCCCTACTCACTAGCAATGAACGTCACAAGAAAATGCTGAAGTGTGAATTACCTTGTAAAACAGCAGAATGAAGTTGATTGCAAAGGCCACAAACAAAGCCAACATTCTCATGTTGTAGAAATTTCGTGCAAAGTAGTTCTGCGGGAGAAGAGATAGACACAGCGTCAGAGCACACACGTGTGTTTCGAGCGATCGCTCCTAAGAGTCTGAGATCTCCAGGGCTCTCACCAACAGCTTGCGTTGGTAAGCGATGATCTTCTTCCAGAAGGCCGACTCCTGCAGATCAGGCTCATGGTGCTGTCTGACCTTCCTCTTCACCGCTTCCTCCTTCTTCTTCTGTGCTTTCTCTCCGTTTTCCCCTCTTAGAAAGGCACGAATCAGAACTCAGTATGCAGGTGTTATCAACACTATCGTCTACACATTTCCACCAACGGACTTACTCGGCTTTCTCAGGCACGGATTTGGTCTCCTCCGCAGCTTCACTGTTGTCTGCTGAGGATGAAGAGCCCTTCGTCTGACAGAACCAACAGCGAAAGAGTTAAAAACCTCACAGATTCATGCAATGATTGGAATCGAACAGATCTTTTATGTGCCAACTTGTCTTAGTCCTGTGTCAAATGTCCTTTCTAGTTTTTGTCATATTTAGTCAACCTGTCCTGTTTGTTGTTTAGTTAAGGTTTAGCTGACTAAAAGTCTGGGAATTTTAGTCTAGTTTTAGCTAATAAAAATATTTCCGTCATGCTGCAAAACGGTTAAAATGATAATCACAATTACTTTGCTAAAAATGATAATCGTGATTATGGATCATGACTGCTGTAATTTGAGAGATGGCATCAGAATCACTGTACTAAATCAAGAGTTACTCACACATGCTTTATTTGAACTCATCTAGTCTCCTGATTTATTATATGTGACCCTGCAGCACAAAAGCAGTGTTAAGTCGCTGGGGTATATTTGTAGCAATAGCCAACAATACATTGTATGGGTCACAATTATCCATTTTTCTTTTATGTCAAAAATCATTAGGATATTAAGTAAAGATCATGTTCCATGAAGATATTTTGTACATTTCCTACCGTAAATATATCAAAACTTAATTTTTGATTAGTAATATGCATTGCTAAGAACTTCATTTGAACAACTTTAAAGATGATTTTCTCAATATTTAGATTTTTTTGCACCCTCAGATTCCAGATTTTCAAATAGTTGTATCTCGGCCAAATATTGTCCTATCCTCACAAACCATACATCAATGGAAAGATTATTTATTCAGCTTTCAGCTGATGCATACATCTCAATTACCCTTATGACTGGTTTTGTGCTCCAGGGTCACATTTAAGAAAGAAGCCCTGACTCTGGGATTTAACTCTTGACATCTGACAACTGCAAGCAAGAAAACTCTTGGAAGTCTAATTCTTTAAGCTACATAGAGTTTTTATTTTTCTAACTACATTTTAGTCTCGTCTTTTTTCATCAGTGACGAAAAACACATCTGTTCCATCTTCATTTGACCCTCTAACTCTAGCACTTTCTATTCTATTTTAATTCTACTTTATCTTCTTTTTTATATA